CAACAATAACACTCAACCCTTCAACAATAACACTCAACCCCTCAACAATAACACCCAACAATAACACCCAACCCTTCAACAATAACACTCAACCCTTCAACAATAACACTCAACCCTTCAACAATAACACTCAACAACAACAACACTCAACCCTTCCAATAACACTCAACCCCACAATAACACTCAACCCTTCAACAATAACACTCCACCCTTAGCAATAACACCCAAAACCTCAACAATAACACTCAACCCTTCAACAATAACACTCCAACCCCTCAACAATAACACTCAACCCTTCAACAATAACACTCAACCCTTCAACAATAACACTCAACCCTTCAACAATAACACTCTTCAACAATAACACCTAACCCCTCAACAATAACACCCAACCCTTCAACAATAACACTCAACCCTTCAACAATAACACTCAACTCTTCAACAATAACACTCAACCCTTCAACAATAACAACCAACCCTTCAACAATAACACTCAACCCTTCAACAATAACACTCAACCCCTCAACAATAACACTCAACTCTTCAACAATAACACTCAACCCTTCAACAATAACACTCAACCCTTCAACAATAACACTCAACCCCTCAACAATAACACCTAACCCCTCAACAATAACACCCAACCCTTCAACAATAACACTCAACCCTTCAACAATAACACTCAACCCCTCAACAATAACACTCAACCCTTCAACAATAACACTCAACTCTTCAACAATAACACTTCAGCAATAACACCTAACCCCTCAACAATAACACTCAACTCTTCAACAATAACACTCAACCCCTCAACAATAACTCCCAACTCTTCAACAATAACACTCAACCCCTCAACAATAACACTCAACTCTTCAACATTAACACTCAACCCTTCAACAATAACACTCAACCCTTCAACAATAACACTCAACCCTTCAACAATAACACTCAACCCTTCAACAATAACACTCAACCCCTCAACAATAACACTCAACCCTTCAACAATAACACTCAACCCCTCAACAATAACACTCACCTTTTCAGCAATAACACTCAACCCTTCAACAATAACACTCCACCCCTCAACAATAACACCCAACCCCTCAACAATAACACTCAACCCTTCAACAATAACACTCAACCCTTCAACAATAACACTCAACCCTTCAACAATAACACTCAACTCTTCAACAATAACACCCAACCCCTCAACAATAACACTCAACCCTTCAGCAATAACATTTCACCTCTCAACAATAACACTCAACCCCTCAACAATAACACCTAACCCCTCAACAATAACACTCAACCCTTCAACAATAACACTCAACCCCTCAACAATAACACTCAACCCTTCAACAATAACACTCAACCCCTCAACAATAACACCTAACCCCTCAACAATAACACTCAACTATTCAACAATAACACTCAACCCCTCAACAATAACACCCAACTCTTCAACAATAACACTCAACCCCTCAACAATGCACTCAACCCTTCAACAATAACACTCAACCCCTCAACAATAACACTCAACTCTTCAACAATAACACTCAACCCTTCAACAATAACACTCAACCCCTCAACAAAAACACCCAACTCTTCAACAATAACACCCAACCCTTCAACAATAACACTCAACCCTTCAACAATAACACTCAACCCCTCAACAAAAACACCCAACTCTTCAACAATAACACCCAACCCTTCAACAATAACACTCAACCCTTCAACAATAACACTCAACCCTTCAACAATAACACTCAACCCTTCAACAATAACACTCAACCCCTCAACAATAACACCCAACCCTTCAACAATAACACTCAACCCCTCAACAATAACACTCAACCCCTCAACAATAACACTCAACCCTTCAACAATAACACTCAACCCTTCAACAATAACACTCAACCCCTCAACAATAACACCCAACCCTTCAACAATAACACCTAACCCCTCAACAATAACACTCAACTCTTCAACAATAACACTCAACCCTTCAACAATAACACTCAACCCCTCAACAATAACACTCAACTCTTCAACAATAACACTCAACCCTTCAACAATAACACTCAACCCCTCAACAATAACACTCAACCCTTCAACAATAACACTCAACCCTTCAACAATAACACCCAACCCCTCAACAATAACACTCCACCCCTCAACAATAACACTCAACCCTTCAACAATAACACTCAACCCTTCAACAATAACACTCAACCCCTCAACAATAACACTCCACTCTTCAACAATAACACCCAACCCTTCAACAATAACACTCCACCCCTCAACAATAACACTCAACTCTTCAACAATAACACTCAACCCTTCAACAATAACACTCAACCCCTCAACAATAACACCCAACCCTTCAACAATAACACTCAACCCTTCAACAATAACACTCAACCCTTCAACAATAACACCCAACCCTTCAACAATAACACTCAACCCTTCAACAATAACACTCAACCCCTCAACAAAAACACCCAACTCTTCAACAATAACACCTAACCCCTCAACAATAACACCCAACCCTTCAACAATAACACTCAACCCTTCAACAATAACACTCAACCCCTCAACAAAAACACCCAACTCTTCAACAATAACACTCAACCCTTCAACAATAACACCCAACCCTTCAACAATAACACTCAACCCTTCAACAATAACACTCACCCTTCAACAATAACACCTCAACCCCTTCAACAATAACACTCAACCCTTCAACAATAACACTCAACCCTCAACAATAACACTCAACCCTTCAACAATAACACCCCCTTGAACAATAACACTCAACCCTTCAACAATAACACTCAACCCTCAACAACCCTTCAACAATAACACTCAACCCTTTAACAATAACACTCAACCCCTCAACAATAACACTCAACTCTTCAACAATAACACTCAACCCCTCAACAATAACACTCCACCCCTCAACAATAACACTCAACCCTTCAACAATAACACTCAACCCTTCAACAATAACACTCAACCCCTCAACAATAACACTCAACCCTTCAACAATAACACTCAACAACAATAACACCCAACCCTTCAACAATAACACTCAACCCTTGAACAATAACACTCAACCCTTCAACAATAACACTCAACCCTTCAACAATAACACTCAACCCTTCAACAATAACACTCAACCCCTCAACAATAACACTCAACTCTTCAACAATAACACTCAACCCTTCAACAATAACACTCAACCCCTCAACAAAAACACCCAACTCTTCAACAATAACACTCAACCCCTCAACAATAACACCCAACCCTTCAACAATAACACTCAACCCCTCAACAATAACACTCAACCCTTCAACAATAACACCCAACCCTTCAACAATAACACTCAACCCTTCAACAATAACACTCAACCCCTCAACACTCAACCCTTCAACAATAACACTCAACTCTTCAACAATAACACTCAACCCCTCAACAATAACACTCAACTCTTCAACAATAACACTCAACCCCTCAACAATAACACCCAACCCTTCAACAATAACACTCAACCCTTCAACAATAACACTCAACCCTTCAACAATAACACTCAACCCCTCAACAAAAACACCCAACTCTTCAACAATAACACCCAACCCTTCAACAATAACACTCAACCCTTCAACAATAACACCCAACCCTTCAACAATAACACCCAACCCTTCAACAATAACACTCAACCCCTCAACAATAACACTCAACTCTTCAACAATAACACTCAACCCTTCAACAATAACACTCCAACCCTCAGCAATAACACCCAACCCCTCAACAATAACACTCAACTCTTCAACAATAACACACCTTCAACAATAACACCAACCCCTCAACAATAACACTCAACTCTTGAACAATAACACTCAACCCTTCAACAATAACACTCAACCCTTCAACAATAACACTCAACTCTTCAACAATAACACTCAGCCCCTCAACAATAACACTCAACTCCTCAACAATAACACTCAACCCTTCAACAATAACACTAAACTCTTCAACAATAACACCCAACCCTTCAACAATAACACTTCACCCCTCAACAATAACACTCAACCCCTCAACAATAACACCCAACCCTTCAACAATAACACTCAACCCTTCAACAATAACACTCAACCCCTCAACAAAAACACCCAACTCTTCAACAATAACACTCAGTGTTCAACAATAACACTCACCCTTCAACAATAACTACATATGATCTGATTTACATGAAAACTGGTATCTAGAATGTAAATCTAATGTCACACCAGAAAAACTATAATGATATTCGTTATTTGATTGGACAAGATGGCCAACACATAGCGGTTTTTGATTGGTTGAAATTTAGATATCGTCTGATTTCCATGGAAATTGGTGTTTAGGTGTGGTTTCACATAGAAATACAATGGTGGCATTCATTTTTGGATTGAAAAAGATGGCTGCCACTTAGTGGCCTCTGATTGATTGAAATTTGGATATCGTCTGATTTGCATGGAAATTTCCATATTGTCTGATTCTTATGAAAATCTGTGCATAGGTGTTTTCTAATACGACAAACACAACACTGGTGTTTATTTTCTAAGTAGACAACATCATTGTCCTTGGAAGATAACTAATATGGTAAATTGAAATATTGCTCCAATTTTATCACGTTTCGTATCAATCTTGATTGGACATGTACATCAATTGCAATTAGTACTTGTTAATAATGCAAGCATTTTACAGGATTTTTAGTCTGAGATCCTCCATTATAAAACCCATTATTTCTATGCTAGTTATATAATTATACTGTATTTTTTTTAAGTACCGGGTATGTAACTACACTCTAAAACATTTTAAATAGATGGCTCCTTCTTTGTCATAGATAAATTTGTTTAAAACTTTTGATAATATTTCATGATAGGAATAAACTGAAAATGTTTTTAAAATGTATTAGATTTTAGATATTATTGAAATAAATTATGTCATCGTACACAAAGAGGGAACAAAAATGTCTCTTTGCAGGGAATGCGATACATGTCCGACAAAAGAATCATTCACTCAGATCTTGCTGGGAGAAACATTTTAATGACAGAAGACCTACATGCAAAGATTTCTGACTTTGGTCTTGCTAGAAACTTAAGAAGTGACAAGGATTACTATCGTCGATCTAAGGAAAAGGAACTGCCAGCATCATGGTGAGAAAACAAAGATGATAGCTTCTTAAAGGAGATTTCTCCTCATTCATATTTCTTTAAATCCTCTCAAAACTGGTCTCTTTATAATCCAAAACTCTCTAAACCAATGCAAGTGGTGTGCTATATTATTATCCATGTCTGCTTGCCCATAAATCATTGGTCTGACTCTAGTAACTTCATTTCTTTGCTAGATTTGGCAAGCTTAATGCAAAAATCAAGAATATCTTGGATGAGTTTGTGTTTCAGAGTTACAAATCAAGGTCACTGTTACTTCAGATTTGTCAAACCATGACACTTTTTGACAAAGGAGGTGCAGCAGGCATGTCTTACAGACATTTCTAGTTTGTGCTGTCATAATTTTACTAAGACCTCAAGCATTGGAAGAAAACAAGAGTGTTATAAAAATACAACACAATTCCTCAATGTGTGAATAATGTCCCCTTCGAAACGATTATGAATATTTCATGAATTATTCATGAACAAAATTTATGAATATCCTTAATTTCTTCATGAACATTATCATGAAATTCATTAACTTAAAACTTCATGAACTATTTCTTCAAATTATGTTCATGAACATTCATGAATTAGGTTAAAGAAGTTTTCATTCATGAAATCATCTTTGTTCATGAATGTTCATGAATTTCCCCATTCATGATAGTTCATGAATGTTATTAAGAATATTCATGAACTTAAAACCATGATGAATATTCATGAATAAAATATTCCATGAACATTCATAAATTCCCATACCCCCCCCCCCCCCCCCCCCCCCCCAAAAAAAAGATTCATTCAGTTCATAGATATTCATGAAATTTCATGAACTGAACCAGATAATTTACAAAATTGAAACTTTCAATCTGTCAACCTAATCACTTGATTTTTAAACACGAGTACACTCTGCTAGTACCACACATGTTTAACATTATATTATGAATAGATCAGGGGGCATCTTTGTTGGTAGGAAACGAAAAAATGAGTGAGATATTTCTAATTTTTGTCTCTTTTTACTGTTGCCAAAAAACAGTGCTTGTTACATATCAATGACTGACATATTATCAAATGCTCAATTTCTGACTGGCCTGCTTCTCAGCACTTTTTGAATATTTTGAATTTTTTTCAACCATTTCCTTTCGTTTAAAGCTCTGCCATTTCTTTCTCACCAATCCTTCAATTCTGTATAATTTGAGTTGGTCGAGAGCTGGTCTTGGACCTGCTTCCGAACATTTTGAAGTTCTCATTCCTGTTATCGAATTTCTTATGAGTTCGTCAGTACTATAGAGTTTACGGGCAAGCAGTCCTGTGGCAGTTGAAGGGCTGGCCGTCTGGTTGACAAAGGCTTCAAGTTCTAGCATTTCTGCATCTACAATGGATGTCGTATTGTCTTTTTTTAGGCCTTTCAAAATTTTCTTCATGGCTCCTATTTGAGCTGTGAGGCTTTCCATTTCTTCCTCGAGTCAGCTTATTCTTTCACTGTCGCTGAAAGAATCATACAAAACTTTTAACAACTAACTTTCAAAGCAACAACAACAATACAATAAATGTATACTAACTTCAACTCTTTCCTGGTTTGTGTACACACATTATAAAATTTTAGAATTGAAATAACATTATCTATCCCTTCAAATGAAGCTCTTTAAGTCATGTTCATGTATATCCTGCAACTGTAGCAGTTGTGGGGGATTATAATTGGTAAAGCATCCATGTTTGTAATTACAATGCGAAAATACAGAGTCAGATATTAACAAAATCTTCATCTGTAGACTTTTATTTTAAATTTGGATTTCAAGCGAGCCAAAAAAATGACTACAGAAGTGAGAAATAAAAACCTCTATAATTTCAATCACCATTTTAAAAGAAAGATTTCCCTACTAGGTAGATCTAGCAGAGACATCATACATCACTTGGCTAGAAGGTAGATCTATGGAAAATGTTTTCCCAGATGGAGGCAGTGAAAAATTATCAATTAATTCATAGATTTTAATATTCTACAGCAAGGTCTGCAGTTATTAACACCTCAAGGCGTTATGAATGTGGGTTTTTTTTCAAAATGCAATTCTGATATGCAAGAAATCATAAATGGATTGACTAGGCCTACCGTTTATTTCACATATCACAGCGTCATAGAGTGTTGCCCCCTTTCTGTATTTCAGTTTTACATAGTCCCCTTTTTCATATGCTGCTACGTCTTTCCTTGGTTGCACAATGTTGACTAAATCTGCACACTGAGAAAGTTGTCCTCCCAATGAAGTAAACCAAAGCGTGGCATAATTTGACGTCTTTCAAATATAAGGCGGTCAACAAAATTTTATCTGCAGACAATGGCGGGAAAGAATTTACCTGTGTCTTTGCGGAATTTAAAACGGCCCTAGTCAAAACGCCCCTAGTCAAAACGCCCCCAGTAGGAAATGTAATGTTATGAACTCAATGTCATTGAATAATATGAACACATCATTTGATTTGATACCAATAATAAATTGAATCATAAAAACCATTAATTGTTTAATTTTTATTAGAATGTTTCCGCTAAAACATATTTTAAACCAGCAGACAACATCTAATAATTCAAGTGCAATCAACATAATGGGTAATTAATTTACAAGCAGTTTTTATTTTAACCCATAGAATATTTCTTGAACTATATATTTTATCCATTGCCATGCAACTGTATTACTTATAATTACATAGATATCATGCTGAATTAAACTATTAATCAAAGCGGGCCGTTTTGACCAAGTCTGTTTTGCACGGGGCCGTTTTTTTTACCGTACACCGTCTTCGCGCATGCGCTTATGGTTTAGAGCGTTGTAGCAATCGCAGCGAAGACCCAGATTGACAGATCAGGCAGGGAACACAAAATTTAAAGTAAAATTAAAACAGAATGACAAGATTTTTTTTTAAAAAAGAATAATATTTACATGTACTTAGTAAATTAAATTGGCTCTGACATTGTGGAATTTTAAAATAATTTGTGATCATTTTGAAGAATTTTGATGAATATCAGCAATGCATAAAAATTCATGAATAGTTCATCATCACATATTATAATGAAAATCATGAATGCTAATGAATTTAAGCTATGCATGAAAGTTCATGGACATTTATAGATGAACAATCATGAATGTTGATCAATTTGTAAATAATTCATAAAAGTTCATGAAGAGTTCATGAGGGGTATTTGATGAATATTCATGAACATTTTTTCATGAATCAAAAACTGTCTGTATTCTTAAAAGTTCATGAATGATTCATGAACATTCATTAATTCATGAATACCATCTCACAGTGGATGATAACATGATATCCATAGTGTTGACAACAGTAAACAAAATGGCTGTCACTGATGTTAACATCTCTTGATAATATTTTCTGTCAGTACCTAGACTGGTATCTGTAATGAAGATAGAGCTTTTATAACATTTTCAGAAAAAAAACTATTCAATCAAATTATAATACACAGTGTGATTAAACTTAATATATGTATAATATACTGGGGATTTTTGTCAGTATAACTATAACCCTACTTGTTTCACTTAAGATACTGAGAATTTTTGTCAGTATAACTATAACCCTACTTGTTTCACTTAAGATACTGGGGATTTTTGTCAATATAACTGTAAACCTACTTGTTTCCCTTAAGATACAGGGGATTTTTGTCAATATAACTATAACCACTTGTTTCCCTTAAGATACCGGGGATTTTTGTCAGTATAACTATAACCACTTGTTTCCCTTAAGATACCGGGGATTTTTGTCAGTATAACCCTAACCCTACTTGCTTCCTTTAGGACACTTGGGATTTTTGCCAATATAACTATAACCACTTGTTTCCCTTAAGATACCGGGGATTTTTATCAGTATAACTATAACCCTACTTGTTTCCCTTAAGACACTGGGGATTTTTGTCAGTATAACTATAACCCTACTTGTTTTCCTTAAGATACGGGGGATTTTTGTCATTATAACTATAACACTACTTGTTTCCCTTAAGATACTGGGGATTTTTGTCAGTATAACTAAAACCACTTGTTTCCCTTAAGATATCAGGAATTTTTGTCAGTATGACTCTAACCACTTGTTTCCCTTAAGATACGGGGAATTTTTGTCAGTATAACTATAACTGTACTTGTTTCCCTTAAGATACGGGGGATTTTGTTATTATAACTATAACCCTACTTATTTCCCTTAAGATACTGGGGATTTTTGTCATTATAACTATAACTGTACTTGTGTCCCTTAAGATACTGGGGATTTTTGTCAGTATAACTATAACCCTACTTGTTTCCCTTAAGACACTGGGGATTTTTGTCAGTATAACTATAACCCTACTTGTTTCCCTTAAGATACGGGGAATTTTGTCATTATAACTATAACCCTACTTATTTCCCATAAGATACTGGGGATTTTTGTCATTATAACTATAACCGTACTTGTTTCCCTTAAGATACTGGGGATTTTTGTCAGTATAACTATAACCACTTGTTTCCCTTAAGATATGGGGGATTTTTGTCAGTATAACTATAACCCTACTTGTTTCCTTTAAGATACGGGGGATTTTTATCAGTATAACTGGGGATTTATGTCATTATAACTATAACCACTTGTTTCCCTTAAGATATGGGGGATTTTTTGTCAGTATAACTATAACCCTACTTGTTTCCTTTAAGATACGGGGGATTTTTGTCAGTATAACTATAACCACTTCTTTCCCTTAAGATACGGGGGATTTTGTCCGTATACCTGGGGATTTTTGTCAGTGTAACTATAACCACTTGTTTCCCTTAAGATACAGGGGATTTTTGTCAGTATAACTATAACCACTTGTTTCCCTTAAGATATGGGGGATTTTTTGTCAGTATAACTATAACCCTACTTGTTTCCTTTAAGATACGGGGGATTTTTGTCAGTATAACTATAACCTTACTTGTTTCCCTTAAGATACAGGGGATTTTTGTCAGTATAACTATAACCACTTGTTTCCCTTAAGATACCGGGGATTT